TGTAATCGCTTTTCTGCTATCATTTTCATCTGGATCCATGACTACCGACGAGTTTTCTAGTCCTCTTCATATACCCCCCTCCTTCTCAACCTCGGAAGCCCAACTTGTTACTTCCCTCTATAGTCCCACTCAAAGGTCTAGGTGTGGCGTCACTTTAAGGTCTACAATCCATCTCCATTTCTTTCTGCATACTTACTGAGCGATAGGATGTTAGTTGATTTGCTTCCAGAATTCCGTCCTGCCTCTCCATTCTGGGAGGCTATTTGGCCTTTAGCATCGAAACAGAGAATGCATCTGATGATGAAAATCTGCAACAGGCTGTTTCAGAAGCTCTTCGTGATGCACAAGATTATAATTTCTGTGCTAATTTCTATAGATACCCACAATGACTTCAGAGAAATGTAAACCTATCTTGTTCTCCCAGTTCCGCCTGTATATGAAGAGATGCTGCCCAAGTAAATTAAAGACAAAACTTCATTTAGATTCCTCCCAGTGATGGTGATTAGTGTTTGCGGTTATTTTCTGAATGCTTCCATATCATCTCTCACCTCCTTTACCAGTGGTTACGACTCTCGCCAACCATGCATATGGTCCAAGGTTCGATCCCCTGCCGACCCGCACCTGATATCTATGGTCGGCCTGCAAAATTTGGGCTACCGATATTCATGCTGAAAATTCCATACTTGTACAAAAAATACAATGCGGAATCAAGCTGTAAATCAAAACTTTTTTAAAAATATCACCGAATTTTTACCTTCAATCTTGTCTTCTCCACCTCTGCTGCCAAACTGTTGGTTTTTATTTGCCTATCTTGAGTTTGTATGGTATGTGATACTAATTATCTGCGAAATCCAGATGCTCTTTTTGTCAGTCTAACGTATGCTCATCTCACTGCCTATGGTCCCCAGCCCACAAAAGGTAGAAAGTACGGTATGGTGATAGGAACCCTACCTGGTGAAAAAACAGTCTCATCGCTAGTGAGGCTTCACTTTGTTTTAACTGTAATATTTTTCTGTTGAAGCGAAGTAACTGGCTTTTATTGGAATATTTAGTGAATCCTTTCGTGACTTTATTAACTCATCAATTCTGTAGCATTTATAGGAAAGATGCACTTATGACAATCGTTAGATGAGAACAGATTATGTTCAAACAACAAGTGGCAAAACATTAGCAGCTCTATGTGATTACTACTGAATTCATAGATAACAGTAATTAAGATAATGCTATAAGTGATGTGCTTTTTACAGAACGAAAAGCAAAATGCCAGTTTTACTAACGGCAAATATAAGTTTCATCTCATGTTTATCCATAGGTTTTTGTCAAATATCTAATGTATGTTTACAACATACCATTAAACTTTTATAAACTCCATTTACTGATGTCCTAATTTCCTCCCAGAATATCTCCTTTACCTATTTTTTACTCATTTTGTGATTTATTATCATTCATTTTGTTAACAAATAGAGGGAAAATATTAATTAGTAAAATTTATTGCTTAACTTTTGTTTTTTCTGAAAATTATGCGTCAAGTCAAGAGAGTTTTGTTACTAACATAAAACTGAAATATGGAAATTGTAGTCAGTATGGGTGAGAGGTTTAGTCTCATGTAATTACAAATATGCATTTAAGCTTAAAATGACATGGAGTAAATAATTTGGTATGGTTCTATTGAAAATGAACACACCTAACATGATTTTGCAGTCAGTAATAATCATATAATATGGGATTAGAAGGCGACCAACTTTTGATATTTAGGATGTAATGTATTACTTTTACTACGACTGTGAGTGTGAAGATAAAACAGACTTAAACTGCTGCCACCCTTTGTTTGTCATTTTCAAGCCGACCAATTATGATTGATGAAGAGGAAGACAAGCTTCCTAACTGTGCCATCTCTATGTGTATCTACAAATTTAGCTGCTCCTGTTGAGAAAACTGGCTGTATAGGGCGAATAACTAGATAGCTTATTAAACGTATTAATGAGAATCTTCCTTCATGGTTCGGGGAAGGCCATATAAAATCTATTAGAAGTTCTATTTTAACCTATTTGATTGATAGCGGTTACCAAGTGAACATGAGAAGTGCCTTCAAAGGCATTTATCACATTCCATCGAACCTTTTGAGCAGAATTCGAACCTGCCTTTTATACACAGCCGAAGCTATGGGAATTTAAGAGAACCTGAAGAAGATCTAAGTGAAAAAAGTATTGGTCCCTCATATGTCTTGTTCTGATAATGTAATACTCAAATGTTTTATTTCTTTATTTCCTCATTCAAAACTAGAATGTTTTTCTACGAAGTAATAACTTCCGTTTATCTTTGTAAAATAGTGATAGTCGAAAATTCTACAGTGATGATATTAAATTTATAGAATTTAAATGCAGTAACTTTTATTTAAGTTGTTTCCTGTCTCGCGAAGGGTATTCTATTATATCAGAAATTGTTTTGTAAAACTTATTCACCTGGGAGCTGTCGTCTAAACTCTAAATTTAAAAGTGGTAGAGAGATTTTTCGCCTACATGAGTGACCCTAATCGTTTTGAGAGTATGCAGCTGGATTATATATCTATATATTTGCGGAAATGCTGGAAAATAAATCATCAAAACACTCTGAAATCACCGAGAATAAGAAGAATTCATGTTAGGAGTTGTTTTCAGAATCCTTCTCATACTCTGAGGCTATCACATTATAAATTTGTGTAGTATATTCAAATGTTTTTGAGAGATCAAGCAGTTGGCATATTTGATAACTGGCAGTGTGAGTCGATGGCACAATGGTAGAATACTCGCCCACCACGCAGGTGTTTCGGAGTTCGGTCCCCGTCCGACGCACTCCTTTACCTCGCCAAGCTATTAATGAGACTGGTAAAGAAGAAAGGTTGGGCATCAGGCTAGAAACCCCATCCCTTAAATTCCCTTCCAGTTCTGAGTGAAACATAAGGTTTCGAAAAAATATCTCTGCTTCATTCTGTTTTCTGTAGTCGTCATAAACTGGCTTCAGTATTATCAATAATTGCTCATTACCTCTTCATATGGTCCCCTATATGTCACCTTTAGACTGCTAACTCGCCCACTACTCATTCAGTATCCATTCTATGGTATGCTTGATTAGCGATGCCATGCAATGGTTCATCTCCACTTTCTATAATATGTTTGATGCGTGATAAGCCCTTCCTTGATTTGTTCGCAGAGCTCCTTGTTATGAATCTTTTCTGACTATTTGATCATCAATTTGTAGCGAAAACAGCTATTGACTTGTGAAACTGCATAATGCTATCAACTAATGAGCAATAAATATTGAAGTGGAAATAAATGCGAACGGAACAACAAGATAAGGAAAACATGTGATGTTTATACTATTAAGTAAAATCATTCGAAGCAATAAAGTTGCATAAACAAAATTATAAGGAGATGGAAAGCAAAACAGTAAATAATCAGCAATAACATTCACTGAGGTAGAATGCGTTTAATGTACAGTAAAACGTTTTCCTAGATACATTTCAGAGTGTAAGCACCTTACTTTCTTAAGTCGATTTTATTAGACTCTGCAATTCAGAAATGTATGGACTGAATCACTTATTTCTTCAATCAGACTAATACATCTATATATTCATTTGACCCCGTCTTTTGTAAACATCTACATATGGCACACTGATCAGTCAATTCTATTATTCATGTATGTAATGGCGTCACCAAACTGGGCGACTCATCATTATGGTGCACTTCAAATCAGTGTTAGACTATTGAAAGTACTTCGTTAGAAGTCCTTGACCTAATGTTCACAAGTACACCATGACTGCAAGCCAAGAGGCTTGGTGATCACTTTGCAAACATGACTAAAGAAATTCATTCAGATTAATGACTAAGAACAGTATATTGGCTACTCATCAGTGACGAATCAACATATTTATTGGAGTCCTACAGGAGATTAATCGTGGTCCCTAATAGATCACTGTTAAGGTCTGTCATTGAAACCCTCAGTAAAATAAGCTCTAATCTCCAACGAGACATCTTTTAAGATTGCAGATACGTCTTGCTGGCAAGCTCTAACGAACATGAAATCTAAGCTCCGGACATCCTGATGACTGCCTCTTACAATCTCAGAACCAAACTACAACTTAGTAATATATGTGCTGAGAAGCTAATCGCCATCACCTTATTTTCAACACTTCGAATGGCAAACGATTTGGCAATTCTGAGTAGGTAATCATAAAAACTTGGTTCTAAATACTGCCATGTCTCGCAAAAAGCTAGATATTTTCACTTATCTACTGAATGCGTATGTCATTACCTGAATGTTTCCAGTGACGTATACATGTATCAACAAGAATGCTTATTATTTCAGTATGCTTTTTTTATTCCTTCACGTTCTCAGTGGAACATAGGGCTTTAAGATAGACGCTTGAAGTTTCTGTAGCAGTGTTTATTTTTACAGGATGGGGTTGCTAGCCTCATGTTCAACCTTCCCTCTTTACCAATTGTATTACTGAATTAGCGAGGTAAAGGAGTGCGTCGGCCGAAGATCGAACCACAGACCATGCTCATAGCCGGCAAGCGTCTTAGCCGCTGAGCCACCGACGCAACTTGATTCCATACCGTATTTTTGATACAAGTATGGAATTTTCAGCATGGATATCGGTAGCCCAAATTTTGCAGGCTGATCATTGACATCGGGTGTGCGTCGGCACCGGATCGAACCCCAGACCATATGCATGGTCGGCGAGAGTTCAAACCACTGTGCCACCAACGCACAAAAGCCGCAACACCCGGTATTTCCAGCCGGTCACCCATGCAAGTACTAACCGGGCCCAGTGTTACTTAACTTCGGTGATCGGATGAAAACTGGTGCTTTCAACGTGGTGTGGTCGCCAACATGTATTAACAAGACTGCTTATCATTTCAGTATGTAATCATTACTTATTGTATCGAATCATACTGCCAGAAAATTTTAATTATTCTAATCTCACGATTCTCTTTTCTTTTTTTCTCATTTCCATACAGATATTTGCTTTGGTGTTCTTAGCTGTATTAGAAGCAGGCATTCTTTATACTATTCTGTCACAATGGTTAAGACATTTAGAAGTTGGTATAACATTTGCAGTACAAATGTTTCAACCTGGATCAGAAAATGAAACAGTTATGGCTAATATACAAGAAGCTCTTCATTGCTGTGGTAGAGGATGTAAGTAGTTTTTATGCTTTTTTATTAGGTTACTACTGATTTAGTTGCTCAGTTTAATTTTCATGCGTTCCACTGAACAAAACATATGTGATTAAAGGTATTGTTAGGTGTAGGTCTAAAAATGTCTTACGTTACAATCAATACACTTGATAGCTTGAACTCTTACCACATGTTCAGGGATCAGTGAACTTCATTACTTTTCTTTATGAAATAATCTATATGTTGTATACAGATCAATTCATGAATAATCCCTATCCAGACAATAATGAGAACAAAACACATACTTCAGTGAAGAATCTCTTTTCGGCGACAAATTCATTCATTTAGCTGTACAATCGCAATTATATATACTTATTTTTTATGTATGTGTACATTAGGCATGCCCGATAGGAATAAAAATTAGTTAGAGTTATTATTGTCAAGGCATTTCAGAAAAGTGATGGGTAATAAAATTGTGACCAGGTGGAGGTGAAGATTGGTAAGAGAGAGTAGTGGTGATGCACTGTCAAAAGACATAGTTATTAGTGTTAATCAACACATAAAGGAAGTTGAATAAGCGTAATGCAGATCAATAGTTTAATAAGTGAGTTGCGATTAGGATGAAATTATGTAAGAGTTCTAAAAAATTACAAATGCTATCAGAAGTTATAAAAATAAAACAAGTACGCAAACATCAAGGCAGTAAAAGTCGACACCGCTGTTACCAAGATAGTAGAAGTGGTCGGATGATTTTCTTTTGAATGCATAACTTTGGTTTTTCTAACTGAATGGTGAAAACTTGAGCAATACGAAAGAGATAAAAGCGTATTGCATTTGGTAGATTGCTCATCACTTTGTAGATCACATTGAAGGAGGCGTTTGTTGAGGTGGAATGACCAGTGTTGACGAGATGTCCGACTATCTCACTGCTTATACAGCCACTAAATCTTTTTGTAGCCATGAGGGATAGTGTTCTTGAACCCTTTTGGACATGATAAGCGTCGAACGATCAATGTACTTGTCCCCACAGCAACAGGTGAAATGATATATGCAGATATATATACAAATCAGTGTGAAGGGCTATAAATTACCATCTGGTTTCAATCTTTCCAGATTCATAACAAGAATTATTAATGGCAATATAGCAAACCTTAGTCTGCCACGTCTTTTGTAGCTTAACATTTACACAATATTATGGTAAACCATGATCACTGGAGTACAGTAGGTCAGGTGTGAGGACAGATACTCACCACAGTTGATTTTTTCTAGTGGTCACACCATATCATGAATTCTCAGAAGTTTGAATTCATGCACCAACCATTGGATCGGGTCCCAGTGGTTTAGTGGTCTATGACCTCGTCTTATAACCAGAAGGTCCTGGATTTGAACCCTGCAGTTTTGTTGCGTACTGCTAATGGGTCCCAAACTAAGATGAAACAGCTGTTCAGTACTCTCAGGTTTTCCAATGGCCCTCTAACCGATGACAGTTCATGATAAAATCTTCAAACAATATTATACGCACCACTATTTTCAATACGATTGTGATTGGTGAATAAAACGTATCAAGAAACATGATAATGCGGGTAAATATTCAAGTACTTTGAGTAGATCAAAAAAATTTCGAAAATTTACCTGATCGATGGGGAAGAATAAGAAGAGCGAACAAACAAAGTTTGACGCGGAATGAAACAAACCAGTATTAACACCTTTGTATCTTTTGTATTCTTCATAAAATAGATTGAAAAAATGAAGTTTTGGATACGCTGTATTTCTTCTTGTACCGGACGCAATCGTTGGTTATCTTGAGATTACATTGGACACAAATCACTTCAATAGAATTACCAACAGATTTGATGAATGCTTGTGAAAGTCATAGTGATGGAAAATTCATCCTTCACTTGAGTCTTAAGAGTCGACTGATCATAATTTATAATGAGTGAGTGACTAGCTGCACAGACTGTACATCATGTGATCTATTAAATTAGATAAAAGACTATGTTTCCGGTTATCTGACTGGTGGTGGCTATAAGTGGGACAAACTAAGCGTCTTTTGTCCTACTTTAGACCTTCTAGGTATTAAGTTCCTTTACTGTCACAGGGTTCTTGCTATGCTTCAAATCACCAAAAATATCTATTGAGTCATCAAGAAAATAAAAGACAAATTCAGCGATGAAATTTTTCTTTGTCGACGAAATCATCTCCAGACTTAACAGTCGTATAGAACAAAGGGCATCAGGCTTCGGCTTTTGTGTATGGCGGAAGCGCTGACAGTCCGTCAATACAACCCCGAACTCTGTATACACAAAAAGTTTGTCCAATCTCTTATTCTACCTTGGTCTTAACCTCTTCACTAGTCGTTCCCTGTAAAAAATTAATTTCTTTTAATTTTCAATTTTAATTTTAGTTTGGTTTTTGTATAATAACTAATTTGCTATTCTCACTCTCATAAGTTCTTTTTGTACATTTTCACACTCTCTTCACACTTTTGAAATTGATGCTCAACTACTTTTATTCTCACTCAATAGAAATTTTAACCTTATCAAATTTCTAACTTTGTGCTGTTGAGTACAACTTTTATTTTTTTTACTTTTGAAGCTACTCCTGAGTAATTATATCAATTATGTTACTCCCTATTACTCAGTAATAGACTCATACATTTTTGCTAACTATAAATACGACTGTACAGCTTCTGAAGATGACTTCGTCGATGAAGAAAATTTTCTTCGTTGAATTTGTCTTATATTTTCTTTATGACTTGTCGAGTATTTGTAAATGCATCCAATGCGACTCAAACTTAGAGGTCATCATTTAAAATACCAAAGCGTTATGCCTGGAGATTCAGCATTTCGTTTCAGTCAAAAAAAGCGACAGGAAATTGACTGGTTTTAATAAACAACTTCGCATTTATTAGCTTTCAAATTCCCTCCTCTTCTTCAATCATACATTTAGTATTCCCATCGCAGCTGCATATAAATCTCTCCCACCGTCTCCCTAAATTCTTTCCCACTCAGCAATTCAAGTGTTTTCTTTAAATCTGATTCACATAAAATAGCTTAATGTTTCCCCTGATGTCATTTTATTTCATAACTCCTCATCACCACTGACATCACATCACATCACTGCCATCATCATCAGTAATAATGATAACTGCGTAAGCCTAAAGACAGACTTCTGAAAAATGTTATCAGTCTTGCATTACTTTTGACAGCCATTAAACTTCAGTATTTTCCCCCTATCAGACTCTAAGTATGCATGAATAATTGCCTTAAACAGGAAGACGACGAATACTTGGAGGATTTATTCAGTTGTAGATACGCTGACTACCTTTAAGACGATCTAAGTGGTCATTAAAAATAGTTTCACTTATTGAAACTGTCGATATCCCTAGTTCAGGTGGGTTTTTTGGTTAATATATGTGTAAAACGTAGGCACTGTGATAGTAATTCCATATCACCTTGTTCATTAGATATATCAAACAGTGAAACAGTACTGTTTACTGGATGACAAGGCTTCGAACAAAATTTATTGTTCACAATCATATCAATTATGAACACAAAACTTCGAAACTTGAGGTTTGTAGTTTTATTTATTCTTTCCTATTCGTCATAGGGGTAGAAGAATTTTCCAGATATCCTGGTAGACAGTTGCTGAATCATTCCTACTATACGTGTTTGTAGTTAATTCGATAAGCAGAGCTTCTGTTATCAATCTCTCCCTCCATCCTATGGCATTAGATTTTAAAACTGTCATCTTATCCCATCCTATTGTTTGGTTGTGTGCGATTGCATGTAGCTAGTGCTGTAGCTGAACTATCCTCCAGATTCATTATCTTATTAGAGTCAACTAATCTAGATTTTGCTAAGGTTTTATGCTCCACTACTGCAACTGACTGACTCCGTTCGACTACTTTGACCTGTGTATTTGAACTTATAATCATTGCAGATTATTAGATAAACTAAATAGCTTTGTTTTATTGACCCCAAAGTATCCTTTAACCGACAAAGCTTGTTTCCAATTGATTTTGTGGCTTTCAATACCACTTTTATTCCTGCACTGTAACGAATTCTCTTCAGGTTTCCGAGGTTCCGTCGTTATATGGAAGTACTGCTGATGGTGCTTTAAATTGTTGGTGTTGTCATTATCCTGCTCATGTTTTACATGCATTTTATCATAAATATTATTATTACCATTATCACTATCACTACTGTTATCATTTATTTTATCTTTATATTTTGCCACAAATTTCCTGATTAATGTATCAGCGTAATTCTCAGGTTTCAAAGCTTCTCTTATATGCCTCACTTCCTGTATTAGACTTTCCTTGGTACTACTTAGTTTTTGGACCCCACTACTTAAATATTTCACCAATCCTACTTTTAATGACATAGAGTGGGATGATCGCGAATCCAAATATCGGTTGTGAATGTTTGGGTTTCCTGCAAAAACACTAGTGTTTAACTTCCCATCTTCTTTCCCTCTTATGTTACAATCTAACATTGGAAGTTCTCCTTTCTAACTTTCCACTTCATAAGTGAACTGAATTGCCTCTAACTGCGAACTGATTTGTTTGAAAATTCTATTTATGTCCCGTGTTCTAAGTACAGTGAGTGTGTCATCCAGATACCCTTATCATACTTTTGGGGTGGGGCTGAATGTTTCAATCGCTAAAATTTCCCACTTGTCAACGAATATATCTGCCACAATCGGGATGATTATAACTGATGTGATTATGAACAATAGATTGTATTTGAAACAACATCCTGTAAATAATTCTGTCTCCCTGTGTGATATATCTAATAAACAAACTAATATGGGTTTTTTCGGTGTTGTTATTTTCTCTAATCTAACTGATTTAATTGAAAAGTATTTATTATTTTCTCAAGAAAAGTCTTCATTGCAAACTTCATAACATCAGCGTATCTTTTGCTTCTGTGTAGCTTCGCTCAAACTAAACTTTATGCATATTTCTCTATTTGTCTGAAATCAGCATCGATCCGGCAATGTATGAATAAATTCACCACAGAAATAAATAGGAAGACTCTCAGTAATAATAATGATAGTAATTTAAAACAGATTAATAAACATACATTGTTCTTTTTGATAACTTCCTCTTCAACTTCTACAATTATATACCCATATTAGATAAATAACAATTTTGTGTAAATCAAATACACAAATGACTTTCTGTAACAACAAATCACTAACTTAATTTATAATCCAACAGTTTGTTTGATGAAAAAGAACAAAGTTTAAGTTCAAATGCGGTCGAAATTCAGTTCAAAGTAATTATATATATATATATATATATATGATTGGATGTTTAGTGTAAAGTTATTATATCAAAATAATATATTTCACAGCTTTTATTCACATTAATCGATTTGATTATGATTATGAAATTGTTTTCGAAACATCATCTAGTAAACAATACTGTTTCAATGTGTGGCATACCTCATAAGCAAATCAGCAGGAATTGTATTCAGTTTGTTATTATTATTTTCTTTAGTTTCTAGAAGAATATAGGGCTTCAGCCACTCATCTACACTGCGTCCGGATCTCCGCCAATGATTCCATCCGGCTCACCGCCCACCATTCAGTCGGGTTCCACTCGAGCGATAGCCTGGTATCTGATGTCACCCACTTAGTGGTTTTCTCAGAGTATGGCCAATCCATCTCCATTTACTTCTGCATATATGTTGCACAATCGGTTCCTGATGAGTTGGTTTGTTCATTGCCAGAGATTCCTGTTGTTGATCTTTTCCGGCCGGCCATCTCATCTTGAGCGAAGTAGTGAGCGAAGACAGCTGTTGATGAAGGTCTGTAGTTTGTTCGAAGAGGCCTTCTTGACGCATCGTCAGGTCTCTGACCCATACAGTAAGTAGCACTGACTTCACACTGAAGTTGAAAATCAGGATCTTATTTTCATTTTCATGCTGAGTGCTGTTGATCTATCTCCACACAGAATTGAGAGTAATGAAAGCTTGTCTTGCTTTCTTGATCGACCCTCGCTTTGAAATACTTACCAGTTCCCCCCACCTGTAGTTAAAAAGATGCTTTCCAGGTAGTTCGGTAGAAGAAGGAGGTTGTTTCTTTCAAATTCCTCTCATTCACGCTGGCTGATTGTTGTCTGTTGTTGTTTCTGTGGTTGTTGGTGATGGACAGAAATCTTCATCACCTCTGTTTTCTCTATGTTCACCTGAAGTCCTATCTTCTCTGGGTGGTTCTTCTTCCAACGTGTTGCTTTTCACTTTCATACCTTCCAGTTTGTAGGAAATCAGGCATATATCATCGACGAAGTCCACATCCTCCAAGTTTTTTGTGTGGGTCCATTTTATGCTCGTCTCCTCATTGCCCTCTGTCTGTCGCATTATCTAGTCTACCGCAATCAGTAAAAATGATTGTAGATAGTAGGCGTCCAGCTTGTCTTACTCCTGTCTTCACTTCGAAGGATTTCGTTAGTTTCTTGTTGTGGAGCAATATCACAGAACTGTTGGATAAGGTTTATAACTGTTGGCGGTACCCCCGAAATCACTTGATATTCAGCTCGATTACGAAATTCGAAAGTTTATAAATGTCAAACGTGATTACCTCATAAAATGCAAGATAGGGTTCTGTATATGAGCACTTATGCATGTGTTGTTAAATAAAAGTGAATAGATACAAACAGTAAGAGAGATAAATACTTTTAGCAAACTGTAAAAAAACACAAATAGTTGAGAAATTTACTAAATGAGATAATATAGGATAATATCGGCGGAGAGATGTCAAGAGTCTCCAGATGTTCCATAAGAAAACTCGAGACTTTGTGGACGATTTATGCCTTGTGTCAAGCAAACTCAAAGGAATACAGGCGGAAACCGTCAAGTTGTCAGAAGAAGCAGAAAAGACAGAACTGTAAGAAAACATACTCAAGAGAGAGGTTGTGAAGATAACCACTGACTAGCAACAATAAACACCAACTACTATCAAGAGAAGACATTTGAAGGAGGTCAGTTCTTCTTCTCGTTTCCGCAGCATTGTCTCAACTACAATAAACATCGATGAGAATGTCAAAGTCACAATAGGAAAGGCAAGACAGACCTTGATTACTCTGAAATCAGTCTGAAAATCTACGGCACTAGTCATAAACAACAAGAATCGGATTTTGAAGTTTAATGTTCAATCATTTCTAGCATTTAGTTCGGAAAATTGGAGCACGAATCACCAGAAGCAATCCCAACAGCCTACTGCGGAATTTCATCAACAAATAACTTCGCTGTCTCAGTAGTGAATGTCAGATGGCCACCCAGCAACGATAAGCAATAAGGAACTCTGAGAACGCAATAATCAAGACCCTATTACTCAACAAATATTGCGAAGGAAATGAAGACGGATCGGATATAAGCCGAGAAGACCACTGGGTTACATCGTGCTTCAGTCCCTCTAGCGGAACCAGAATAGAAGAAGACAAGTTGGGTATGGTTCCGATGATGATGTAGAGGAGATTGTTTGAAGAGAAGACGAAATCTTACGGACACTCTTGGAGCCAAATACACGGGAGTGTGGAAAACAGGATGAAATGAAGCCTTACGTTCCACTTGGAACCCAAAACAATAATAATTACATTAATATAAACATGCACAGCTTTTTGAACATCAAAACTCAAAAGACCAGATATATACTCCATTTAACAGTTTTCAGATTCCAAAGCAAATCAAGGTAAGAGATGTTGTTCACATGTATTTATATTATAAATTATTTAAATTAATCCCAGCGTGTTAAGAAAATCAAAACAAGATTTTTCTGAACGTTAAGCCACAGCTTCTTCAGCAGATTTATTCGGATTATAATTAATCATCAAAATATATAGTCTAAAATTTTTACATAAAATGAAGTCAGTTTATTTGAAGGTCATTTCTCCATGAACATGTTTTACCAATAGAAGTATGTAAGCTGTCCTCACATATATTTGTAATGACTAATGTCAAATTGTTGTTGTGTTTACTCTTCTATAGTTGACTTGTAAAGATTAGATTTGTATGCGTGTGTGTATCTGTATGTTATTTGTCATATGGAAAATACGTGAATTCATATGTGATAAACGTGTCACTAAATGTTTTAAAGGTCATGGAGGCTCATAGAGTGTTTGTTGTTTTTTCATTTGTCTTGCTTCATAAGAGTTTGCCATATAGGTGATAAGTCTATACCTTCTTTCCTATTCACTGCATTTGATGTGGTTAAAATGTGCAAGGCTTCTGAAAAGAAAAAGTTAGAAGATTATTGTGTGTATCCTAATATGAATATGTAGAGTAAAATTTGCTACGAATATCATTAGTGAAATCTGTATCAAATAAAATTATTCCACTACACTACAACAGTGTCACAATTTTATTCTCATGTCAGTTGGTAATTTTCATTTTGCCAGAATATCACGAATGAGTGGAGGCTAGAATTCATGGGCCATTGGATCGGGTCCTGGTGTCTAGATGTTCTACGAGCTTGCTTTGCAAGCTCATAGGTTTGAACTTCAGTGGGTAGGTACTACTGAAGATTCCTGAAAGCTAGGACAAAACGGCTGTCCCATACCCAATGGTCCTGTTTCTTTTATTCTTTTACATTCCCAGTATAACATAGGGACTTCAGACTATAGCTTTGAGGTTTCGGTAGCATTGTTTTAATTTTTATGGGGTGCAGTTGCTAGCCTCACACCCAACGTTCCATCATTACCAGCCTTATTACCGGCTAAGCGAGGTTAAGGAGTGCGTCAGCCAAGGATCGAACCCCAGACTATGTGCGTGGTTGTTGAGCGTCTTACCGCTGTACCCCCAAGGCCAATGGTTTTCTAACTAACACCAAACTTAAAACAAATTAAATGCCTGCAAATTAACTCTTGCGTCGGTGGTACAGAGGTTAGGACGCTCGCCGACCATGCATATGGTCCGGGGTTCGATCCCCGGCCGGCGCACTCCTTTACCTCACTGAGCCAGAGATAATCCTGGTAAAGAGGGAAGGTTGGGCATGAGGCTAGCAACCCCATCCTGTAAAAATTAAACACTGCTACAGAAACTTCAAGCCACTAGCTTGGAACCCTATGTTCCACTGGGAACGTGAAGGAAAAATTATTATTATTATTAAATTAACTCTTGAGTATACCTTTTTCTTAAGAATCGTGTTTACACATATACACACACGCGCAGACTGACGTCAATCCACAAGTAAATATGGTAAATTGATAAACAAGCATGTTTACTTCATGCATATGTAGAATTAAATGAATTATGTTCGTTTCCACTTGTCTAACTTCCCTTTTATTTATTTTACTTACAGCTTATGGAGATTATGGAGTAGCCAATGAAGCTATACCAATACACCATGTTCCATATTCATGTTGTGATTTACAAACCTATACAACTGAACACTGTAATAATGCATCAACTTTACCAAAAAGTAAACTGTCTGCAATTGCAGAATCAACTGAAATAAATAAACTTATTTATGTTATCCCAAATAGTTTAGCCTACAGAGAAGGTTGTGTCGATCGATTACAAAATGTCTTTTTACCAGTAGTTATTGGCTGTTTCTGTCTACTTATATTTATAAATATCTTAGTAACACTAATCAATTGTTGTTATGTACAAAAGGCAGCAGATGAAGAAGAGATTCAAAGTACATGGCTTGATTCACAAAATTTTATTAAAGGAACAACAGGTTAGTCAGTAGTATGATGTTTATCAATGTACTAATTTCAAAACCCACTTGCGTAATCGTTACTTATGTATTATTATTATCTCCTTTGGTTCCTTGAGGAATATAGGGCTGCAGCCACAAGTCTCCATAGCGTTCGGTTTTCTGCCAATGTTTCCACCTGGTTCCATATCTGCTCACACGCTTTCGTCTACTCTTCACATAAGCTTTTCCTAGTCACACTCGCATAAAATACCTACTCACCGCTTCTTATTCGGTCGGATTCCACTCGAGCTATGGCCTGGCGTCTGATGTCACTCACTTGACGGTTTGTTTTCTCAAAGTGTGACCAATTCAATCCACTTCCATTTCTTCCAGCATATTCGTTGCACAGTCGGTTCCTACTGAGCTGGTTCGCTCATTGCCAGAGATCCCTATCGCTAATCTTTTCTGGCCGGCCATCTGATCTTGAGCGAACTAGTGAGCGAAGACAGCTGTTGATGAAGGTCTGTAGTTTGTTCGAAGAGGCCTTCTTGACGCATCGTCAAGTCTCTGACCCATACAGTAAGTAGCACTGACTTCACATTGAAGTTGAAAATCAGGATCTTATTTTTATTTTCATGCTGAGTGCTGTTGATCTATCTCCTCACAAACTTGAGAGAAATGAAAGCTTGTCTTGCTTTCTCGATCGACCCTCGCTTTGAAATACTTACCAGTTCCCCGCCTGTAGTTGAAAAGATGCTTTCCAGGTATCTCAGTAAGTGGAGGAGGTTCCTTCTTTCAAATTCTTCCCATTTATGCTGGCTGATTGATGTATGTTGTTTTTTCTGTGGCTGTTGATGTTGACCAGGAATCTTCATCACCTCTATTTTCTCTATGTTCACCTGAAGTCCTATCTTCTCTGGGTGGTTCTTCTTCCAACGTGTTGCTTTTTACTTGCATATCTTCTAGTTCTTTGATTTCAGTGATATTAGTATGAAATTCGGAAGGAAACACATCTTTCTTATGGTTGAAGTAATTATACTAATTACTGATTAACTTGGTACAAACACTACAAGAATTTGGATCAAAGTGCAACAGTGTGGCTTTACGCATTTCAGCCGCATCCGCTTAACTACTATCAAACTTTATACAACGATTAAATACATATACCTTACGTCATGCTGATACGAGTCGTGGGCGAAACAACAAATGTAACAAATCAAGTATATTTGAGTGTTTCCTAATGTAAATCAACGGGCTTGGCACTAGAGGTTCTCATAGAGAAAATCATGTGAGGAGGGAATGAAAGCTTGTGGAAAATCACGCAGCCTGATTAGGATAACCGCAGAGAACAGAGTGTGGTGGAAATGTACCACCGAAGCTCTGTATTCCACTAAAAACTTAAGGAAGAGAAAAATAGAGGGGAGAGAAACAGTCTTTTTTCATTCATACAAAGAAAACACATTCGCTGACTAGCTTCCTGAAGGCTCGTCCCACGCCTAACCTTCCCACTTTTTCCGGGTTTAAGATCGGCTGGGAAACTAGCAATCTAGTAAACTAATCTGCGGCATTTGGAACAGGCTGTAGACTTTTATCAACAGCTGCCTTCATTGGCTTCATACTGAAGATCAAATAGTCAGCAATAACCAGCAGAAAAACTCGGCGAATGAACCAACAAAGAACCTATTGCTCGACAAATATATCTAAGTAAATAAAGGTAGATGGGACACACCCTGAGGGGGTTATTGAGTGACATCTCGCACCAGGCCCTGAGTTCCACTCGGAATAATAGTATTAAAACTGGAAAAGTCAAAATTCAAACAGATTTTAGTGAAATACATATACAGAAATAAACAGACACTAAACTTCTAACCAACATAGGCTGAAGTATAAAACCATCTGTGTAAAGTGGATTTAAATCTTAAATATAAGCATCAGGTACGTTTTCTTAGCAAATAATAATGACAATAACAATAATAATGAACACGAGATCTAGTTTCTGGGCTTCTGGTCGACTCCTTCCAGCATTACAAAATCAAATGAAAGCCCATCACGTTGGCGACTCAACTAGATTAGTAACTACACCGTCAACCTGACTTAATGTAACTCAGCTTGTACAAAGAACTGTAAACATTACACTAATTATGAATAATGACCATCTCGTTTCAGAACAAAATATTAAGTGTATATATATACATATATATGCTCCTGTTCCAATACATTTCTGAACTGTTAAAATAATAACAATAATAGCTTTATTCTGTAAAAACATTATGCATGGCTTACAGAATTCTCTGTGTAATTTATTGCATAATATTTGCTCAAGTAAAAAAATCTATAGTATATCATGTAAAGCGACGTGGTTTGATCTGAAGCAGAGACTAATCCCTCATGATATTTTCCCCGCCTCCGAGAAATACGCATCGGTACTTTGGAAGCCGATTAAGAATGTGCTTGACTACCCTCTGCAACTCAAAGTCACGTCTGAATGGTTAGTACAATAAGAATTAGAGAAAGTCTGATGCATTCTGTTTGGTAGAAATTCAGGTAGTCCAGTAATTTCTGAAGGCCGCCAGTTATATGAAGGCTTCAATAAGTAAAGTAAAAGAGCCTAAGTCTTTACTTAAAAATGTTATATTCTTCCGACCATTAATTTTCCTCTGCCGTAAACTCCTCGTACTTATGGTTTTCGATAAAAAAATTGTTGCGTAAGTGATATCGTAACAAAGGTAAAATTAAGTTCAGAAATTATAACTTAAAATTACCATTAGTTTTAATTACAGGCAGAAGTCTGGTAGTTCAAAAGTAGAGTGCCTGCAGGCAAATCGAAGATTTTGGATTCAGTTCCTGGCTGAGGTACTCATAAACCCATTTCTGTCCCCATAGTTGGTCGGTGAAAGATAAGAGATTTAGTGTGAAGCTAGTAAACACACTCCGTGAAAATAACACCACTACTGATGAAACTCCACAGGTTGAAGCCGTATGTTCCACACAGAATACAAGGAATAAAGTACGCAAGCAAACGATTCATGAGTTTCACAGAAGGAAAAGTTAATGACTGCGCAAGATATCGTTTTAACAAAACAGATTGATATCAACTAACTGACCGAGCACTAAATAATCGAGAAATTAGGAATTTCTTTATTCTGTAACTTAGTTGTCATTAATCGCTGAAACGTCTAAACTCTCTTTACTTACTGTAATATGACAGAATAAAATCATAGGTGATAAACACTGAGCAAACAAAATAATATATTAATAAAATTATGCTCTGATGTGTGTAACGGAAAATTAGGATCTATAGCCAGTTCACTCGTCTATAAAGCAAGTTTTACCTGTCAGTGACTTTTTCACAGACTTGTTGTTTATTAATTATTGTTGTCATCATTCTGGGTCTTCAGAGTGTAAACATAAGAGAAGTTTGATGTTACTAAGTGGACGAAGATGTAGGGACAATGACAGTGAACGCAAGGAGGCATCACACGTGAGTATACAATATAACTACTCCACCTCAGTATATCTGGCTTCAGTAAGTCATGGAAATAACAGGCGAAGACTGTAGGGGTGACTTTCTTTGACAAAAATGCACCCCTTCTGTACATATCCGCACGCCAAAGTATGCTAGGTCAATGATTAAATGAGTCATTCTGTTCGCTTGTATCAGTTACCCCGGTGTCCATCAAAACTAACCCCTTCACATAATGACATAGATCTTGCTAGGAAGTTGGCAACCGTCGGATATTTCAGTCATTTAAATTTAAACAGCAAGTACTGCTGATTATCATGGATGGTTTCCAACTATGTATACCAGTCAGTAGTATATACCATCCCGTAAACCTCATTTAGGTAAAAAATTTTTAAGACAAATTCCAATCACTTAAGAGATCAGTTTTATTAAAGTCAGCGAAGAGTATTCTAATCAAAAGTCCTAATTAAACCTCTGCAGTTAAAATGTTACTTTAATTCCCTTTGGTTCCGAGTGGAACATAGGACTTCAACAGCACATATTCACTTCACCCTGTTCTTTGCAGTCCTATTAAGCTGACTCCATGACTTCTCATAGGCTTCCGTCTCCTCTTCACATGATCTCCTCCGTGTCACTCTCAGCTGCCTAACTCGTCGCTATCCGTTCCAGCCCCACTCCAAAACCTTCGATGTGATGTCACTTAAATGTCCCCTTGGCGTGTTTCCAATCCATCTCCATTTTATTCAGTATAACTGCTGGGCAACAGACTCCTAGTTGGTTTGTTCTCACAGTTTCTTGTTACTAATTCTTTGTTACCTTAGATCTTATCTTAAGTATGTAGCCGGTGGATGCCTGCAGTGGCGTTTTGGAAATGCTTTTGAGAGTCAATTTCCTGACGTATGTAGAAGTACTGATTCAGTATTCAGATTTAAAATCGGTATTTTGTTATCTATTCTGAAGGCAGCTGATTTTCAAACTAATTTCAGAGTTATGAAGGTCTTGGTATCCTCATTTGTGCTGTCTGTATTTGAAGCGATACTACCCAGATAAATGAAGGAAGCAACTTCTTTCAAATTATTCCGATGATAATAATTATTGATTGTTGTTGTCGTTGGTTGGTTTTCTCCATCACCTCCTTCTTAACTATGTTTACTTAAAGTCCTGTCTTTGTTGTCTGCTACTCCTACCGAATTATTGGTTTTCGCCTGTAAGTCTTCAAATTCATATGACACAAATTCATAACACAGAATTCGTCCACTGAATGAAGATCATCTAGAGATACTAGTGGTGACAGTAGGCATTCTAGCCCCACTCCTGTCTTTAATTCAGATACTTTGCTGAGTTTTCCGTTGTGTTACTGAAAGGCCATGGGAAATACGAATACATATTAAGTATCAATATCAGTTGTTAATAGATCATACGAAACTACGCATGACAATCAAAAAATAGATAAACTCAGAAGCTTCGTTATGTAGTCTTACGTAATCTAAAAACATCATGTGACAAATAGCGTTCAGAAATTATCATTGAAAAGGCAGGCCTTCGGAAAACAGAACGCTGCTGATAAAATTAGAAAATTCAGAATACGTATAAGATTAATTCAATATTTCAGAGTATGAAAAGGTAAAAAGACAAATTATTGTATAAGTCAAGATAAGGTTCAAGGTGATAGTGGTGAAAGGGATCAGACACACGGCTTCTGTATACACAATTCAAGGTTTTCCTTGTGTACAGAAGCAGATTCTTCATTGAACAGAAGATTTAGCTCCAAACTCTTCGAACGACTTAATCTTGCCTTATATATAACTTTCAAAGATTTATCTATTGATAAAGATACATATCTAAGAATATAGTCCTCAAGAACTTAGCTTTTAGTTGGTCTAATCTCCCTATTTGACAACCATATTAGAAGAAATTCCTAAGCACGTCTAGACAATATCTGTCAATAACTAGACAATCTGATATGACCATAAATATTCGTACCACTATATATTTACGAAGTTTATGAATCTAATGTGACTATCAGCAGTAAACTATGTCCGAAACATAATTAGTTAAAAATACTGTACCAATATATTTTATTAAGTCAATTCTGTATATAATGGAATTGACTATTCTGTAGAAATACTTTACATTTTTTGCTATTCTTAATAGGCCACATAACTCCCCCCTTTGTTTTAAAAAACTTGACTTCTGGGAATGGGTAATTCTTAAATTGGTCCACCACTTATAGCACTAGTAATATAGTTATTAAGCTTCAAAATCTAAGTGAATGAGGCAAAAACATATAAACGAAAGAAAGTGAAGCATTGCAACTTAACCTTCCATCTTAGAGAAAATAGCAACATTAAATAGAAACGAATTACGGTCTGTATGGGTATAAGTGATTTAAATCAAATTCGGAATAAGCAAATGACGATGCCATGAGCAATTTACACAGTTTGAAGTGAGATTTCTCCATAGTCCCTTTCGGAAAGCGAAATTATTCAAATCACAGTATTCGATCTTCTCGATGACATAAACTACAATTAAGTAAGCAGGCAAACGCTACATGCTTCTGGTTGACTGATATGAGTAGTTGCTTACCACTCATACCAACTAGTAGTGCTTGCTAACCAGATTGAAGTGATTTTAAGATCTTTCAGTTGTTTTGTTCATTTGAGGCCGATATTATCAGCGGACACGACAGGCATTTAATGTTTAAATCACCTCGACTTGTCTAGCAGGCGATACTACTACTCATATCAACCTATCACTAGTGTGTCGTTTTCTTTGTGAGGTAGGGTTTCTAAACTCACATCTGACCCACCCTCTTCACCGGTCTTACAACCAGTCGGAAATCGAACCCTGGACCACGTAAGGCGTTGCTAGTGAATGTCCTATCATTAAATCACCATCGAAAAGAAGTTTCCGCACATGGTCGCAAACATATATAATTTTTTACATGATGAATTTCTGAAAACCGTTTGATAAAATAATTTTTCGATGTTTCATATCAATAAAAATTTAACTTTTTATTCATTATAACACCTATAATTTATTCTGTATCCTTTTTTCAATACTGTTTCTAGAAGCCTTCTGCCTTCGACCTCAAACAGAATCAGAGGTAACCAAAGATACTTCAGTATCAAACTTTTCAGACTTATTAGTGTTTCAAAGGCAATTATCACGTAGGCGAACTAGTTCCATGCCATCGGATAAACAATAAAAATAACATTCAGTTTCTCATTCTTTCCTGTAAGTTAATTGAATTCCTTTTATAGATTATTAACAACTTCATTGTAAATGTATCTTACATTGAAAATGGATTCCGCAAATAAGTAGTATAACCAAAGCGGATCATATATATTCACTTTCTGTGAGCTTATCACTCTCATTATTGACTTTGTATCTGTTGTTTTATTTCACTATCTAAACAAACAAATTATTGAGTTCATTTTCAGTTCCTGTACACGTTATTGATGAAAATATTCTTTTCGTTAATTGCTGTCATTTTTTTCATATGTATATCATTTTAATTTGTTCGCGCCATTTTATTGTTTTTTTTCTTTGTTTCTTCTTGTTTTCATTTGCATTTCTACAGTTCATTGTCGACAATTAAATAGTAAGCATTGAATGACTTTTACTGTTGATACTACTTTATTCACAAATAAAGTAGTTTTCAAATGATATGTAAATATTTTGTGAATAAACAAAACAAAAAAATAACAGTAAATTTATTTTCTTTTTTCCTTAAAATGAAAACCATTGCTGGTTATGTAAACGTGACATTTTATAGGAAAGTAAGTACTCTGAAACACTGCTGAGACGATATCCTTTGTTTCTAATCGATTACTTTCCGCTGGTTGGGAGTGATGTTTATCTAAGGTCTACATCATCTGAATACCAATGAAATTTAGACTGTTTTGTCATTGTTAAGGTTTTGTAACTAATACAGCTATTTTCAGTAAGCCAAGTGCCTGTTGTCAAAAAAATGTGCAGAAGGAAATGGAGGTAGGTTAGATATACGCTGAGCTACAGAGACCTTCATGTAATATCACATGCAAAGCCTTCGAAAAGAACCCGAAAAGAAAGTGTCTAAGGGTGATATAGAGGAATTCGTGTGAGGAGGAAATGAAATTTTGCAGACAATTTTGTAGCCAGTTGAAAGTCATAACTTAGAAGCTAATGCAGTGATGGCGTGCCGCTAAAGCCTTAGATTCTACTCGGGACTTAGTAAATGAATAATGATTCAAAAATAATTCTCAGTAAGCGTCAAACAAACTGAGTGGTAGTTAATAACAGTCTACCATTATTTAGTTATTTAGCTTTATAAATAAGAATTTGCTAGGTAAAATAGTTATCATTCAGTAATTCACTAACGTGACTAATGGAACATAAACCAGAAATGTGTTAATGAGATAAAAAAATTAATGGCTCACTGTGGAACGATTTTTCAACCTTTATCCTAAGTGAAGGAAAGGTGTCATCTGCGCGCCCGGCTATCTGTCGAGTGGAATCCCAATGAAAAGTAACGAATGGGTCGTTAGTGTGAGGGTGACATGGAGAAGATTGTGCGAGGATGAGACAAGAGATTATGGTCAGCCGTGGATCCAGCTGAAGAGTACAGCAGAAAATAAAACAAAGTGGAGATGTGTTTTTGAAGCCATATGTTCCACTGGGAACTCAGGGAAATAATAATAGCAGTAATGATTCTTTGCAGTTGTAATATTTTCTTATAATAGCAGTATATGAAATAAAATACACTTTAGAGAATATTTACAGAAGGAAAATAGACAAGAAAGTATTTTAAAAAGTTGTTAAAGCATAAATTCAAAATTAAGGACACATGAATCAGCAAAGAGATATCTCTTTCCGTAAATTCACTTTAAAGCTGTACAGTTATTTAAGGGGGTCTATGTATGCCATCTAGGTTGACAACAGAAGATAGAATTTATTGTCACTTAGTAACTAAGTAAACCAAAGTGAATCAGTATTAACCATGTTTGAGAAATCGAGAATGGCCTTACGTAATCAAAACAGATGAATAATCGTTTAGGAATAATTGTTAAGAAAAAAGAGAAGAAAGAATTGAAAATGGGTTGCCAAAAGCATAAAATCGTCTACACTGACCTTATTATACAGTTGTTTAGCAAAATGACAAAGGAAAATAATTAGTACTATGGCAATGGTGGTAAAGGAGGATGGGTAAAACGTTTCTGAACACAAAGTTCAAGTTTCTTCTTATGAATTACTGAGGCTTCGGCTTCATGAAAAAGATGTAGGTGAAATCCTTTCAAACGACTTTGAAAGAAGTCTCTGCTGACGCTGCATGATCGGAAGTAACAACGCACTCTAGAATTCAGCTACTGACTGTTCTACGTTCTCTTCTTTTGACAATCATGCTGGTAAGTGTTCATGGACACGTTCAGATAGTGTTCTACTAGAATAATTGACCATGCTAAGTTAAATAACTTAGAAAAACTCAGCCACTGCTCTGCATTCACTTGCATGTAATCACGAAATACGGTGGAACGGTGAGAGTATTTAAAAGTAATATAGCTAGATGGAGGGAGTGACTAATCACAAAAGCTCTGTTTATCGATTCAACACAGTTCACGTGCAATCGGAATGACTCAACGCCTACACCGGAGATATAGAAAGTGGCAACAAACAACAAAGGGAAGTTAGAAAGACAGAAAGAGAATATATATGTTAGACAAATTGTGGATATGTGTGACTAAAATTGATATGGTTACGAGTAATAATTTATGCTCGAAGCGTCATCCAATTGTTAATACTGCATCGTCACTGTGTGATAGTTAAAATAAACTTATCCAATATAGAACTACATTCAGCCACAGTGCCAAACTTCTACACTTACATTGATAAAATCAAATAATACAAGGTTTAGGGAGAGATTGACAACAGAAGCTTTATTTGTGAAATCGACTGAGATTTTGTGCAACAGGAGTGATTCAACACTCGTCATTAAAAAAGTTTACTACCCTAACGATGAATGGGAAGGAATAAAGTAACTATTACACCAAGTTTCAAAGTTGTGCAGTTATAATTTTATATGATTATGAAAAATAAATTGCACTCGAAACGTCGTCTAGTTATTAATACTGTATCACTGTGTTTTATTATCAAATAAACTTATCTAATACGGAAATGTACTCTATTCTGCAATGCCTAAAGCTTAATCATACATTACTTCTATAACTTACCTTCTTAGAAAAAGAAAAGTTCACTCCCTTAAAACTTTGGTGAAAAAATATTAATTTTACAATCCAGATTTGCGTAAAAAGACAGGTAATTGTACTTTTGGTGTAATGGATATCTGACTGTTTTTCAGATTCACTCTGTCAGGGACTGAAGCTGGCTAGTTAACATAGAAAATCAAGAAAGGAGAATTCCTGAAAGATCTGAATCTTAGAAATGGTTCATTCATTGACTACTGACACGGTGCAGTCTTACTGAAGCTGTTTTGTCAAAAACAACTTCGAACAACTATCAGATGGCAAATCTAAAAGGAATATAAATTTCCCTTCAGACAATCTTAGCAATTTCATGACACTGTATCACACAGACATGAAAACAATATACTCCATTTGAATAATGCACACAAATAACTTCATTATCGTGTTTATAAAATCACTATCCAAATAGATGAATTTTCGATTCATTTCTGGGATTATTATTGCTAGGTACTTCAGATTTTCAGCATTAAATATCAATGCCATTAAAGCTAAATTCTTCAGCAGTTGAAATAAACAAGGAAATCAGAATAAGGCCAGGTTAAAGAATAGCAGTCCGCGGGTGTGAATGCACCAGTGAGCTTGAATGTATAATATTCGTTTGATAACGAGACTTAACATTAATATAGCACCATAATGCATGCTGTGTACGATTTGAGGTGCAAATTCCATCCCGACTTGCTCAGATAACAGGTTGGTAACACATTAGGGTTACGGTTAGTGCTAGAATTAGGATAAGTGTCAGGTTTAGGACGGGAACAATGTTTAGTACGTCGGTAGCAAAGCGGTTAGGACTCTCGCTGACCATGCACATGGTCCAGGGTTCAACCCCCTGCCGATGCATACCTAATATCTATGGTCAGCCTGAAAAATTTGGGCTACGGATATCACATGCTGAAAATTTCATACTTGTACCAAAAATAAGGTATGGAATCAAGCTGTGATCAAAATAAATAAATAAAGTTTAGTATACTTCATTTTTACTACCTATATTGTTCTAGTAAATATCTTTTAGGTATTCGTAATGATTATCTGTATTTTACAATCAAAAAGTTGGTTTCTCTGATTGGTTGCGTCAAAGTCAATCGTGCGTTCACTTTGCTTCGATTGCTGTTCTTTAACTTTGCTAAATTTTCACAGAAGCGGAAAATTCATTCAGAAATATATTAAATATATGTTTGTATGAATGTGTCGTTAGAGGTTATCGTTAGTTAACAGGAAGCTGTCAATCAAGATTCCATTTTGTGGCATGATAAATCAATAGGAATGTTTTTCAGTTTAAATCTTAGCAGTAGAGGGTCGAATATTTGATTAAATACCAGGTTCCTTATAGATCTATATATTTGTCGATGATAAGCGCTTAAAGTAGAGGAAACTTGCTAATCAGCTTGAAATTCCCGCCACATCTAAAATACGAGAATTCCAACAATTTTTCAGCACTCCTCTAATGTGAATCAAAAAGAACCCCACCCTGCCTTTTTGGTACCTTGACGTGTTACTTGTTAGACGACCAGAAAACTTGACCTAAAATTCAATATGACAAAAACGAACATGAAGTGGAGAGTTTATGCACTACCTAGGCATTGCTCAATGATTTGAAAACTCTAAGTCTAAGTATAAAAATTCTATGTTACCATACTTGGCACGTATTTTATGTGATAGTGAAAATAGTGTCAGGCAAGAATTAACTAACCTTTTTTCATCTAGTAAATAAACAATTTCCTCCATCCATCCTTATATACCTTCAAGTTTTACTTTTATTATTTCTATTATATTTATGGTCCTGTTGCTTCTTTGTTTTACTTTCATAATTTCAAACGCAAACTTATCTCTGTGACTGCTGTTATCTTTGTTTTTCCCCTTACCATATCATGTAAAGAGAACATTATATTCAATATTCTTAAACATGTTAGGATTTCTATACCACATTGCCAATACTGTGTGACACAAGCCAACGGCAAGTTTCACT